TAACAAATGATGTAGTTATGGCCACCAACTTAGATGGCTTTTAAAAGTTATCTGGAAGATAATCCTACCAGTAACTGTTGGTCAAAATGACAGTATATTGTCTCTGGTATCAGAGAAGGCATGCTCCTGGGAATCAATTGTCTAGGCAACATGAGCAGGGTGGCTCTAGTGTGCTCACGCCCTGCTGATGGAGTTCCCATGGTCAGTGATGTGTTCAGGTCTTCTACTCCAAGTCTCAAGTCTTAACTTTCAAGTCCAATTCTCAAGTCTCTTCTCAAGTCACAAGAGCCAACTTAAACAGAAAAAAGGAAGGTTGTGGTGGGATATGTGTGTGGCGGTGGGAGAGTTGTAATCCCCCTCCCCATAGTCTCATCTGCACTTTTCTCAGTAATGCATTGAAGTCCTTACTTCAGCCACAATGTATTTAAGCATAGCTGCATTGTTATTCAAATTCATCAAGGTTACAATTTAGGAAAAATATTTATTTATTTATTTTTGACACAATTACCCCCAGCTTGGTGCTGATATTCTCCCTAGAAACACTTGGGAACAGAGCAGAGGCAGCAAGCAGGAGAAGTGCTATTATGCTTCCTCTCAAGGAGAGCAAAGTATACCAAAAAGACTTAATGCCTTCACCCTAGTTCCCAGGTTACAGATGAGTACCATGCCTGAGAATATCCTTAAGCTTAATTTGTATGTACGTTAGAGAACATAAGCAAGCCAAATGTTTGACTTGTATATTTTTCTTTTCTTATAAAACACTCAAAAAATACTTCCATATTCACTCAAATGTCTTAAACACAATACAGCATTGTAATATTAATTATACATTAATTATAGGTACTGAAAAGAGAGAGAATCTGTTTTGTGTAGCTATAGAATATTGTAAAAAACAAAAGAAATAGTTCTTAAAAGAGTTTAGAACATACTTTTAAATTAGTGGCTTATAGAGTTAAGCTAGCTCTCATTCTTGCATAAAAACTAACAAGATCATAAATATGAAGCATTTTGAGCACTTCAAAGTACTATTTTTTGGGGGGGGTTGTTCATTTTCTGAATATATTTCTGAGTTGCTCTGCTAATTTACAATAAACCATAAGAATAATAAAATTCCACAGTTCCAAACAAAATCAAAGCTAAAACAAAACAGAAAAAATAATCTGAACTTTTTTCTGTCTTTTTATAGAATTGGATAATATTTGCAAACCTGTTGGCTACTTTGGAGGGGATCAAGCCTGCCAAATTCTATTCAGACAGGTTCTGGTTCTCTTTCTCTGTCTCTGCTGTTAATTCAGCATCATTTTCCAAACTGTAGAATGGGCATGCTAATACTGATCTAGTTCCCTTTAGCATTTGCCCTTGTAACCAGGCCCTCCGCTGCTACAAGGCCATTTATGATGACATAAAGAAAACGGCTGTAGAAACAACCCTTCAGACCTACTTCAAGAAAGCGACTTCAATGCTAACTCTCCCTCCCCTCCAGCATCACAATCAAACCCTGACTCTCCTATATCTTCATCCTCATTAGTCAATGTTAGGCTTAATGTTACCTCATAGATTAGGAAGTTAGGAATAAAAACAGGATTTCAAATGTCATCTGGGCACCTCTGCTGTTTTGCCATGGTTCTTCTTTATCCTTGAGGTCCTACACATGTCCTGAAACACACTGGCTTGGGTATGCTTGAGCCAACGCTGTAGAATGAAAAACTGTGAATATCTCTAAGGAACTACACATCCACTGACATGTCACCAAATGTCCACTAGAAATATTTCTAGCATAGTCCACTAGAAATATCCATGACTTTAAGTCAGAAATATTCATATAGGGTTTATGGCAGTTTGTGCATTGTAAGTATGTAACCCGGGAACTACCTGCATCATAACCCCCCTCCCCCTGCCCCCACCCCTTTGTCCGTCCCTCCCACCACCTTGCTTTTGCCAGAAAGTGACTTGGTCATAAAAAATAGAAATGTTGAGTTGAACTGAGTTGAGTCACTTGCTCATTGCTCCCACGTCACGTCCAAGTAGAGTTGCTGATGGAAGGTGAGACAGACTTGGGAGTGAGTCACTCAACTCGAGTCCCCAGCACTGCTCATAGGCATCTGTTTGGCCAATGTCGGTATAGAATATTGGACTAGGTAGGCCTTTGATCTGATCCAGCATGGCTCTTCTGATGTTCTTATGTTCAGAGTTTACAGTATATAGCAAACAGCCATTTGCCTTTTGTCTGATAATAGTGCACTCCTGCATGTTTTTTGGTTTTAATTAGTTGATAAAATGTATTGATTATTACAAATAAAAAATATTTTTAGTTTTCTGGCTGTCAACAATGCTAGAGGATTAAACATGTTTCCAGAGGGTTATTTTTTACTGGCAATGAAAAAGCATACTATTATGTGAATAAGCAAACAGTTCATACTTATGACATTTCTATTGCAGAAGAGCTGACTATCTTTCAGTGTCACTAGACCCAAGGCAAAACAAATAGCTCCCTCTAGGAAAAAGAGATTTCCTTAAAAATTAATGCTTCCCCCCCCCCAAATCTTCTTTATTTGAGTGTGCTAAAACATCAAGACAGACAAAACAAATGAGGGTTTCATTTTCATGGTGATTATTTCTGGAACAAAATGGATTAATTTCAATAAGATAATATTTGAACAACGACTTGTTAATGACTGGGCTTACTGCAACAAAAGTTAGTTATCTCCTATGGCCAAACTAGATGTGATGTGGCAGACACGTGGAACATTTCCTATCTTTCCTTCCTGCAGTTTACTTTATTGCAGCCATGATATTTGATCTGTGTGACTTTTCCCCAGTGTGGGAGAAATCATGTGGGACAAGAAACACAACAACCTAAAAAGAAAAAAATCTTACAGTGGGGGTGCACACACATCTAGAACACAGCCTAATGAGAACTTGAATGTAGCTAGTCATCACTAGAAGCCACAGAATATTGAGTGTCAGGATGACAGACAATGGAAAAGCAATGGTGGGAGAGTGAATTGGCTGCTTGAGCCCTCTGCTGCTTATGGTATCCTACAGAAGGATGTAAAGATGCAGTACAACTTTTGTTGTAAGCCCCACATGTAACTGGAAATGTTTCAAAAAAAGCTATTACAATATCCACAAGAATAAATACTACTTAATTAACTCAAAGAATCCTAAAATTTTTGTTGTTGTTACTAGAAATTTGTTTGTAATGAGGTAGATAAGGCAGTACCAAGATAATTTGGAGGATTAACTTTCAGCAATTCACGGGAATTGTTTTGCATTCAGACCATCATTTTTTTTACCATGCCTTGGACTTAATTCCCACCATAGTTTCTTGCTTGGGTTGCATTATATCAATAAAGGGATTGCCTAAAATCCTGGAATTTCCCCTGCTTTCCTCATGGACAACAAAGATTTCCACAAGTTTATTGGGAATAGTGCTGGTGCACCTCAGTGAATACTCCTTGAGACATACTTGGGACTTGGGTACTTTCCACACAGTCCACAAGATGTGAAGTACTCTGACCCACAAAAGCATTTCCAGAACTTTGTCATGTGGTAGTTCTAATCGTAAACCATTGTTCCATTGGTTTACAATGGCAGTGCTGTGCTTAGATTCTAGGCATATGTTCCATAGCACCTAGTCACAATAGACTGCCACAATAGACAGTTGCCCATAAACATAACCCTTGTAAAAATCATATGCTCTCAAAGAGAAAACTGGTTTAGAGACTGGTCTGAAGTGAAGCTGGCCTACCTTGGTATATGGGAGAGAATTTTCATCGGTCACTTGGAAACAGTTGGTCACATGGAAAATGGAAATGATCTCCTTGCTTAGTGTTTTAATATTGCTTCAGTGACTGAATTATTTCACCCTTCATACACAGGAAAGAGTGTCCTACAGGCTAGATTGCCCAGGAACACTTGTCATTTTTCTTTTCTCTTGTTGAGCCACTCGTTTGCATGACTCCTTTGGCACTTTTCTTTCAACATTCACTTTTGAATAATGTAACCTGTTCGTTTCTACTTTCTGCTGGTGAGGATTCTGGATTATGTAAGCATAATCTAAGACCAGGGAATGAAGATGAAAGGAAAAGCTAATAAAAAGATACTCATGCCTTGATTACCTTCTGGTTCCAACTAGCCCCATGTTTCTAAATTAGAGCATAATCTATGGTCACTAGACAGAGTCTAGACAGCTACAATAGACTTCAGAATCCCAGCTCCAACCTTCAAAAGGTTCTTTGATGTCAGAGTTGGGACTCTAAAGTCGGGGCACCCTCCTTCTGTCCTTGCAGCAAGTGCAAAAAGAATTGTGCTGGCTGCAGCTTCCAGGTTGGAAGTATAACTTCTGAGATGACATTTTCTGGGCATTTTGGGCGAGTAGGGGTTAGGCTGTGCTAGCATATGTAGCATCCTGGCCTCAACCACTCCTCCTTCCTCTCTGAGGCAAAAGACTTAGATGGAAATCAGCCATATAAGGCTTTTTGTGGATAGAAGTATGGAGGTGACTTTTGCCTCTGCAGTTCTTCATAGGGTACCCGTAATCCTCTGAGTACAGAACATTATGGGCAGCCTCACTGGATTGTACTGTCTGAAACGTTTCTGTTTTTCTAGCATAGTTTAAAGAATGTAGATAGTAGGCTACGGAGATTTGGTGAGGGAAGCATAATCTGCATTCTACATATTCAGCACCAAGAGGTACTGATCATGTCAAAATATTTTAAGTTCGGGGAAACCCCTGATGTTTAAGCACCCTATGATTAAAGACTACATAGGTGATTATTTTTCTTGATTTAGTGACATAACATCAGTGGATGGAAGAATAAAATTTACTCACCAAGCCTGGAGGAATGTTGTCCATGGGGTCGCAATGGGTCAGACATGACTTCGCGACTAACAACAAAAAACATTCCTGCTCTTGCTGGTTTGTGTTTTGACAATATTACTTTTTCTAAATACTACTTTCTGTCTTTTTCTACCTTATCTCTTGCTTCTTTTGATAGACTGATGAAGAAGATAACATTCAGGTATGATTCTTTGAAAAAGTATGCCCTGTTCAGCTCCTATATGTGTTGTAAGAGCTGCTAATAACAAAGACAGCTGGATAGGAACTTTAATGATCGTGCCTTTTGGAATTCTGCTCTAACAATCTTAATACCTATAGTAACTGTTAACATATAGGAGACTGCTACCCTACATATACATAATTTGAACTCAGTGAAACTTACTTTTCAGTAGATACATATAAGATTGCACTATTAGGCTGCAGTATGTTTGGCTTCTGGTGTGCTTTTCATTTGTTTCAGCATGATGGCAGTAGTATTTGTTCTGAAACAGCATGGTAAATCTAAGCGTTATGGGAGATGAAATAGAATGTGTTCTACTGAATTTCTGAGCATCTGCTATACAAACTGCTATTCCTAACACTTCACCTTCCTATAATTGCATTAGCTGTAGGTTCTTTAAGGAACTGTGGTCATTAACAAAAAATACAGGAAAGGAAGAGGTTCTCTTGATAAAAATAATTGAAGCAGAAAGGGGAGGTAACACTAAAGATCCTAAACCAGATCAGTGAGCTCTTCCCCTGTATCATCTATTTCCTCCATAGAACAAGCATGTTCAGTAAGGAATGAAACAAGAGCCTTTATCAGAGTGATGGAGTGCAAAGACCATGGCGGTAAACTAGCAATTCCTGAACAATCTCATTAAAACTGCTAACACTCTTCAAATAATAAATTAAGTAATGAATGAAGTAATGTTTCATGTGAGCCCAAGTACCTAGCCACAGAGAAAGCTGCTCAGTACATCTCTGCTTGATTTAGTGTTCTACCCTCATCTTCCTCCACTCAGTCTTTGCCACATATCTGCATCCCATGGCAAAGATGCAGCAAAACTACTGCCCTTGGCTTACCTCCTCGCAATGAGAGGGGCTCACACAGGAAAAAATGGTTCAAGCTGTTGTGAAGGTGAGTAATTCTTCCAGTTCTAGAAAAGCTGTTATTTCCACATTTCTCAGTATTCTTTTGTAGAACAGTCAGATAAAATCATCTTTGTAATTGATGAGGTGCTTTGCAGTATTCTGTTGTTTGAAAAACCACTGACTGCAACCTGCTGCCTACAAAATATTCATTTAAAATACGTGTCAGTACTGGAGTTTGTCACAAAGTGTTCTAGCCAGTGGCTTATATCCTTCATTAGTCTAACTTGGGTATCATGCATTTCCATGGAGCTACTCTATGCAGGACTAACATTGACTTCATTTTGGTTCCTGACTCAGCTGAGCAGATCAGAGGAAGTTGCCCCAGCTGGTCTAGGGCCTCTGGAATTCAAATAGCCAAGCTCCCAAGGAAGCAAGCAGCCAGGGAGAGTAAACAGTGGTGGTTTTTTTTTAATTCTTCATGATATCTCTACATCACATGTGCGGGTCCTGTGTGCATGTGTGGAACTGTTTTGAAAAGATGATGATGATGATGATGATGATGATGATGATGATGATGATGATTCAGTGAGGAACTAGCCCATAAACACACCTAGCATGAAGGCAGAGCTCCCACTGAGATCTCAGTTCTTTGACTGCCATCAGGAATGCCTCAGGAAGATGTTCCTCCATTGCAAAAGTTGTTCATCTCTCAACTACTTTTCAGATTCCTATCTTCTCCAGGTATTCTTCTCACTTTACCTCTTCTGACTGAAAAAATCTTATTATCCTTGCCTCCTCCTCCTTTGCCCATTTATTTTCCATCTTCATTGAACAGACAAAATGGCACTGAAAGCTCCATTTTGCAATTGTGCAGCATGTGGCAGTAAACTTCCACCTATGGATGGCCACTTCCTATGCCTTTTTTTCCTGGGAGAAATGCATGTTGTTGACACCTGCTACCATTGCCAGGCTTTCACCAAGCTGACTAGAAAACATTGGGCAGACAATCTAAAAGCCAAACTGGGGAAACACATTTTGCACAAATACAATGGCCAGTTGTGTACATCAGGTGCTCCTGTTTCTTCTAATTTGGACAAGAATCTAAATCCAAAAACCTAGCAGTGCAAAGGACCCAGTTTTTGAGGCACCCTATGTTAAAACAACAGGACCTGTCTCTATTCCACTCTTACCTACACTCCTTGATGCAGTGCACCATGAGTAGAAATCACCAGTGTTAGTAACTCCTTCACCTCGTCAACTCGAAAATGTGTATCAAGTTCAAAAGGAAGATGCTGAAGTTTTGTTCCAACATCTTTGACCCAATTCTATTATCATCAAATCCTCTCAGGCCAGTCCAGAAGGGAACATTCCACCCCATCTGACAAGGAAGGCAAGAGGCATGCACATGGTTGGCTACTGCTTATACTCTTCCGTGGTGCTTTCTATTAAAATGGCAAACTACCAGGCCACCATGATCAGATACCATCTCATGCTATGGGATAGAGTAGCAGCCCTCTGCTCATATCTCCCTAAAGATGCCCAATGAGATTAGAAATGAGGCTACTCACTTGACTGGACAGGAAATCCAAACCGCGCAACACCAGGCAGAATGCAGTACCTGAAACATCAGGGGTGATCAGTCTTCATTGCTTCACTTGGCTTTGATCATCAGACCTCTCAAAGTGAAGATAAGAATTGAGGATATGCCATTTAATGGGGCAGGTCTATTCCATGAAGCCAGCAACAGTTACACAAACTCTTATCCAAAAGGCAAGAAATGCCACCCATCAGATAGGACTTAATCAGACACCACCTTCGAGATCTTACACTTCGCGTAAGTGGCACAGGCCTCTCTATCCATACCAGCTCACCCTACTACTACCACCACTACTCACCATCACTCAACTACACAAACTAGATGCCAGGACCCCTTGTTTTGGATCCGCCAAGTTCAGGGATGTCAAGATGACTCTGAGAGGCATCTGTGACTCCTTTGTAAGCCTATTCATGCCTCTTCCCTACATTTTAACCATTACCTTCAGCCCTTTTTCTTGGGCTACTATCACCTCAGATTCATCGGTACTTTCCATAATTCTCCATGAATACCATATCAAGTTCGAAACTCTCCTGCACTTCACTACTATGAAAAGAACTACCCCCTCCATACCCCTTCTTGAGGGAATTTCTTCCCTGTTTCAGAAGGGATCTATAGAACGTGCACCACCAGGAACTCCTGGTTTTTACTCCAGGTACTTCACAGCCCCTAAAAAAGATGAAGGCCTTCATCTGATTTTCAATCAACCCATTAAGCCTAAATGTTTCAGAATGATCTCTCTCTAGTCCATTCTCTCAATACTTTGCAAAGCTATTTGGTTCACATCTGTTGACCTTAAGGATGCTTATTTTCATATTTCCATCAAGGAGTCTCACAGGCATTTCCTCCACTTTCAGGTGAATTATAAACACTTCCAATTCACCATCCTCCCTTCCAGCTGGCAACTGCTCCCCATGTAGTCATGAAATGTATGGCCATTTTTTTGTGCCTACCTCTATCTCAGTTGGGTCCATGTATATCCCTATCTAGACAACTGGATTATGATAGCTCCATCCAGAGACGATTCTATACAAGCCACCATTTTCATATGCCCTCTACTTAAAGAACTTGGTCTTTATATTAATAAGCTGTAAGTCTTGTCTTTCTCCAACTCAGTCAATCCACTTCATTGGAGCTCAACTCAATTCACTTTTCACAAAGGTCCTTCTATCCTGGGACAGACTACCACTCTCACCAGAGAGGTTACCTCCCTTAAAAACATTCATTCTGCAACCACCATGGCAATCCAGTGCATCCTTGGTCTATTGTCATCAATTCCAGTCTTCCCTCTGGCTCATCTACGTATGAGACCTCTCCAACTCTGGTTTCTCACATCATTTCATACCAGAACCAAACCTCACTCCACCAGACTTCACATTTCTCATCAAATTTGCACCTTCCTCCATTGGTAGACAGATGAGGTGAACACCTCTATCAGAGTCCCCTTCTTCCCACAGGAACCCCATCTCACCCCACAGATGTCTCCCTTCCTGGTTGGGGAACCCACTGTCATCGTTCTACGATCCAAGCCAAATGGAGCCTTCATGAGGCCTCATATCACATCAACGTTTTGGAGCTTCTGGCTGTAAGGAAAGCCCCTGTTGCCTTTCCAGCCATCATCCAGTACCATCACTTACAGATCATTATAAACAACACCACAGTGGTTGAGTATATAAACAAGCAAGGTGGAACCAACTCAAGCCCCTTCAGTCTTCTTGCCACCAAGAACTGGCATTGGTGTACCACTCGACATGCCACACTGGTCACAATTCATGTTGCAGGCGCCAACCATGTCTTGGCAGTCTCCCTAAGCAGAAATTTTACCCAGTGTCATGAGTGGGAGCTCCACCTCACCATGATACTATCTCTGTGGGATCGATGGGGTGTCCCTCCAGTAGACATATTCGCTACACAGCACAACACTGTTTGAAACTAATTCTGTTCTGAAGTGGGCATAGGCACTTGATTGATGGGGAATGCCTTTCTCCTATTTTGGAATGAGAACCTATTCTACCTCTTCCCCCCTTTTCCTTTAATTCCCAAAGTCCTCACAAAGATCTCTCAAGACTCCATTGTCCTGATCTTCCCTCTCAACACCAAGGAGCAGTTCTTCATCCCAATGTGAACAACCTCTAAGTCACCACAAAGAGAATCAAGCTACGACCCCTCATTAGTGGACCTTCGCTCCAAACTACAGCACATTCTAGATTCCTCTCTCAAGCCTTCAAATACAAGTCATACAAATTGTATGATGCTTAAGTGGGCAGCCCTTTCTACACTTGCCCAACAACATGACTTTTCTCCAGTTACAGTTTCTCTTATCCAGATTCTTCTCTTTCTCAAGTCCTTATATAAACAAGGTCTCACCTTCCATCTGCATTTATACAGGTGCTATCTCAGCATTCCACACTCCAGTCCAAGGCTGCTTGACTTTTTCTCATCCTCTCATTCATAGGGTATTCTTAATCTAACCCCACCCATCAAGTAATCTGCTCCAGCTTTTCTGTTGTCCT